GAAATAGCCACAGTAGGGAAAGGATATTCAAGAAGAATATAAAAACACTTCAGTTTCATGCAGCTTTCCTCCCTCTGTGTTGGTTATACTGGGGTACGGGTTAAAATCAAGAAGGTCAAGCAACTCCTACCTTCTCCAGAGCTGGCTTTTGCTCTTGAGCTACCAGAGCAAAGCTACTTGAGCTCAGTGGCCTGAGCCTTAATGTCCTAAGCCAATTAAATCTCAAGGATAATTTTAATACCTTTTAACGCACAAGCTATTAACTTCTATTGTGTCATAGATCCCTTTGGAAGTCTGGGGAAACCGTTCCCATGAACCCCTCTTCAGAGTACATTTTTAAAATGTATACAACAAAATACATAGGCTTACAAAGGAAACCAATTATATTTAAATAGTTATGAAAATATTTTTAAAACAAGTTCAGACCCTCCCAGGTTAAGGAAAATTAGCCTAATCTCCATGGTAGATATTATTCTTGTCTATATGGGAAAACTTATGTTAGTCAATAGAAGTAAATGGGACCAGAAAAAAATTTACAAAATGATTACAACAGTATAGATAAAAAAAAAAAAAACTAACAACAAAAAGAAACATTTGACAGTTATAATGATCATATTTGGCTCTGGAGAAGAGTTGAAAAATACACCTCCCTCCCATCTTCGAAGACATTGGAGGTGGGGGTTGTGTCTATCTTAAGACTTGGCTGATGCTGAACTCAGTTATGCTGAACTTTTTTTTCTTTTTCTTTTTTTTATTTTTACAAAGGACAGCTCACCGGGAAGGAGAAGAACATATATTTAATAATGACAGTGATATAAAAACAAAATATATTAACAAAAATAAGATTAAAAATAAAGACTGAGAATTTAGATAAGTGATGGGGCACACCTGCCCTCTTCTCAGAGTAGTGGTATAGAATAACATGCCATCATGTTAGCACAGTACTTCACGCATGGTAGGTACTTAATAATTATTTATTGACTGACTGTTGGACAAAACCAAGATGTTTGCTTGTTTTAAGCAGAACCAGAGTGGTGACTGTGCAAGTAGAAAAAGGGGAAGATTTGTGAGAGATTTTATAGCAGTAGAAAAGACAACTTAGTGAGGAGTCAAATATGATACTGAATTTCTTTTTTAATATTTTTCCTTATCAATGATGGCTCAGTGGGAAAAGGAAGAGAGGCATTTGTGAGAACAACAAATTTTTTAAAAGTAAAGCATGAAAAGTCATATGTGAAACAATTCAAGAAAAATTACACAATAAACTATTTAAAAAATGTTGGAAATTCTGAAACCATATAGAAAAAACTTTTATACTCTTTTTCTTTGATAGCCCAAAATGCCCAGTAAAACACTTTTAAAAAGAAAAGACCTTCTACCTGCAAAATGTAAAAAACAGAAGCAAAAGTCTTCTTATCTTCTCTCAACCAACAGTACTAATCCCACACTGGTTGCATGTGTTTGTGTCTTTGTCTACATCTGTGTATATGTATATACACATATATATGTATGTATGTATTGTATATGTGTATATACACACATACATATAGCCAAATGGATACTTTTAATAAAATGATCTCTTTTTTTCTAAGTAAGTCTTTTCATTCTACCCCAAAACTAAGCTAAGTTGACAAACTTATTTGAAACTCAGAAACCATAATTCTTGAAAAGAATATTCATGATGTTTTCCCAGAAGTAACTCACCCTTCCAGGAAAGGAAGATAACCACAGTCAGGCAGAGATGAAGACAGGCTCCCTCCTTCACTGAGCAATGCTTTTCTTTTCCATATCAGAAATTAAATGTAGATACTCTAAGCCACTCTCTTCTCAACACTCTGAAATCTGGTTTACAAAGTCATCATTCAGCTGAAACTGCTTTCTCCAAAGTTGGCCAAGATTTAATTACCAGATGCAATGATCTTTCCCAAATCCTCATCCTTTTTGGTCTCTCTTCAAAAACTGACACTCCTCTTGGCCATTCCTCTTCTTATTTATTTATTATTATTTATTATATATTATTATTATTGTTTGTTTTTGGTACTGCTTCTCTATCTTAGTTGCCTTTCTACTTGTCTATTATTATTCCAGCTCTCTTTGCTAGATCTTAATGTCATACTCACTAACTGTAAATGTCCACCAAGACTCTGTCCTGGGCTCTTTCTTTTTCTATACTTATCTCAACACCAGATATATCTCTATATATCTAGTCTTTCTCCTGAACTCCTTCACTAACTGCCTATTCAACATTTGGAACTGGATGTCTTATAAAAATATCAAACCAAACAGGTCTAAAACAAAACTCATCTCTAAAACTCATTATCTCTCTCCAAGAAACCTTTCTTTACTTTCCTATCACTGTCAAGGGCATCACTATGTTACCAATCACCCAAATGTATAACTTCAAGGGTCATCTTGGACCCCAGACTTGCTGACTCCATATATCCAAATCAAGTTAGCTGCTAAATGTTGTCCTTTCTATTCTGGTAGACACAACTCTAATTTAGGCCCTCATTTCTTCACAGGTCTATTGCAATAGCCTATCAACTGGACCTCCTGCCTCAAGTGTCTTCCTACTCCAATCTGTCCTCTACATAGTTGCCAAAAGTATTTTCCTAAGGCACAGGTCCGACCATGTCACCCCTTAACTCTATAAATTTTAGTGCTCTCTTTTTACCTATAGGATCAAATAAATTCCTTTGTTTGACATTTAAAGCTCTTCACAATCTGGCCCCTTCCTAGCTTTCCATTTATCTCACACAATACTACATTGTATGACATTAATGAAGCACACATAAAGGGACGTGGTGTGGTCAAGCCATAACTCACAAACTCCTGGTACTAGAAATTCTTTCTACTTTTGTAGAGTCCTCATACAGCTCCCCTTAGACCAGGGGTTCTTAACCCTTTTCGTTCCATGGAATCCTTTGGCAGTCTGATTTAGTCTATAGATCCCTTCTTAAAATGTTTTTAAATAACTGAAAGAAATGCTAACTTTCAGTTTAAAGTTATTAAAAATAAGGATATCATTTGTTTCCCATCCAAGTTTAGAGATCTCATGAAAAATATATCCCAGGTTAATAACCCCTGCCTTATAACAGAGTTCTATGCTACATATGCTGCTTAGGACCATCTACTTCCTTGAGTCCACCTTGGGCATTTCTTTATTTCAGGAAGGATAAATGCTCCCTGAAGCTGCTCACTCTGGTACCTGTCTCTGGTATCCAAAGCAATTCAAAGTTAAATCTATTGTTTCCAATTGGTCTAGTCTCTCAGACACCATTGTCAATGGGAAAAGAGGTAGAGGAGAGAAGGGTAAATACTTTGTCTAGGCTCATTCCTCTCCTCATTGCTGCCCTTTGATCTGGGATCTTCCAGATAGACTAGCTAACTCCCAGCCCAGCTTGTTTTTATACATAGGCCCAAGAGGCATAACTGATTCTTTCCATTAATCACATTGATCCCTTTTTCATTCAATTAGAGAAGGGGAGTAAGGTATAGACTGGGCAAGGTATAAACAAGTCATTCTCCTATTCGATAAAGTCCAGTGGCTCTCTATTGCCTCCAGGATCAAATATAAAAATCCTCTGTTTGGCATTTAAAACCTCTCATAACCTGACTCCTTCCTAACTTTCCAGTTTTCTCACACCTTACTCCCCTCCATATACTCAATTTTATGTAAAACACTCAATCTCCTGAGCATTTTCACTCTTTCTCAGGGCTGGAATTCTCTACTTCCTGTCTTCCCTTGCTCCCTCAATCAGCTCAAATCCAACTTTTAGCCAGAGGTTTTTCTCCTCCAGTCCTCCGTAAGATTAACGTTTTCCCTTTGACACTATCTCCAATTTATCCTGTAGTTCCTACTTTAGTCGTTTGCATGTTATCTCTCCCAGTCAACTGTCAACTCCTTGAGAACAGGGACTGTTTTTGCCTTTATTGTATTTGCAGCCGCAGTACCTGGCATACAGTAGGTGCTTAATGCCTGTTGATTTCTTGTACTGAAATGGGGGGCAGAGTGCAGTCTCATATTATATTTGTATCCCCAGTATATGGTAAACTTTCAACGCAATGCCGTATATATCTTAAAAGAAAAGGTTTTCTCTCTGGACATTCCTAATAACCCTCATAAGCCATCTGTTTAACTTTCTGCTGAGTCAGTCTGTTGGGCACTACAGGCCGCCCGAAGCAGCTTCCCAAATCACATTTAGGGAGAGTTATCACCAGATGCATTGGGAACGGGAAGGAGGGGGGTGTCCAGGGAGGCCGTTTGGAAGAATCTGGACAGCTGTGAGTAGTGTGTGAAACAGCCATTCTATCAGGATTCAAGGGCTGTGGTCAGTGGCTCTGAAGAGGCAGACAGCACCCGCCAGGCTGACCACAAAAGAGAACAACAAAAACCCTGATTATGGGCAGGCCCGAGTCTGGCTGGAGTAAATGAGAGCAGGAGTCGAGGCAGGAGGTAAAGGAAGAAGGAAGGAGAGAGGGGCTGATGGGAGCAGCCCAGCAGCCTGCACTGGCCGCGAGCCACCAAGAGGAGGAGCAGAGAATCCTTTGAGCACATTAAAAAAGCCAGGCTTAGCACAAGCCAGAAGAAAACACATCCATAGAAGGAGCTTGAGAGAAGACAGCCCCGCAGTTTTTTTCCTCGTCTTTTCTTCTTTCTCTACTTCGTGGTGAATTGCTTCAAATACTTTTTTTTTCTTCTCCCTCCTCCCCACCTCTCCAAGCAACAAAGAAGAGAGAAACTTTCTCCTGGTTGAGGCTTACCAGGTGAGAAGGAGGGTGTGCACCAGGGCTCCATTCGATTTCCTTTCTTCGCCCTCCCCCCAAATTCTCCCAACCCCAGCCCCCAATCCTTAGGAGTTCCGAGTGGACATCGCAGCCCCGCTCAAACCAAGCGTTCCCCCCCCCCCCCCTCCCCCCCGCTGGAGAGAAAAGGAGAGAGGTTGGGAAAAGGAGGAGGCAGCAGAAGCAGCGGCGACAGCAGCAGCAGCAGCAGCAGCAGCAGCAGCAGCAGCAGCAGCAGCAGCAGCAGCAACAGCAACAGCAGCGCCCCGGGAGGAGGCTGAGGCAGAAGCGCTCCCGGCCAGCTCCTTCTAACAACGCCGCCGCCGCCCCCCTCAACCCCGCCCCCCTCCCCCCAGGACTCCCAGACATGAACGCCACTGCGAGAAGTCTCCTTCTCTCCCTCTCCATCCTGCTCCTCTGGAAGCTGGATCGGTTCAGCGAAGCCTGTAGCTGCTCCCCCGTGCATCCGCAACAGGCGTTTTGCAATGCAGATGTAGGTAAGAAAAGGCGGTTCCTCTCCTTATCTGTAGTATTCTCGGCCGGGCTTCGCGGCCACCTCCCTTCTTCCCCCACCGCTTCCTCACCCGGTTCTTTATCGCCTCTTGGATTCAGCACTTGGAAGCCACCCTCACCCCCAACTCAGATGAAATCTCCTAGGGGTGGGGGTGGGGATGAAGGAATCTCACGTGGTGGCCAAATAAAAACCACTTGTTTAAACTAGCATCCACCCTTAACTCCCCTTCTTCTTCCTCGGCCCCCCACCCCGCCTCAACCCCTCTATCCTGAGCACAGAAGCGTTAGTTTCGTTAGACTCGGTTGTAAGTTTGACATGCAATTTGTCCCCTTTATCTCCTTCTCTTTCTTTCTCTCCTTCCCTCCCCCTTTCCTCTCTCTGATGCTTCTCAACCTCAGAATTCCGCTAAAATTCCACTGCAGCTCCAACCCCAGAAAAGGAGCCAGGGAATGGATTTGATTTTGGCAGGCGGCGGGCTCGAGGATGCTAGTAGGAGTGGGGGAGGGAATGGGAGACACAGCAGAGAAGAGGCAAAGCGGGGCTTTCTTTCCCCCCCCCCCCCCTTTTCTTTTTTTCCCCTCCTAAATCGAGCCGAGGAGGTGAAAGTGAGGGCCTCGCTCAGGAAGAAACTTTTGCAGGTGGGAAGGTTCTATGCCTGGGGTTGAATCAGTTGGTCGCCCCTCCCCCCTTCATTACCCGCACCCCCTCCTTTTTTTCCTTTTTCTTTTTTTCCTTTTTTTTCTCCTTAAAGAAAAAGCTCCCTCCTTTTGAAGGATGCGAGACACTCTTCACAGACCAAATTTCTAGGGCTTAGAGTTGCCTTAGTGAAAGCCATCGTGTGAAAGATGGGCCTGAGTCTTTACCATTCTTGCCCAGGGTTCTCCCACAAAGCAGATGTGGGACTCTGCTTGTGTGGAGTGAAACGGTCCTCATTTTGTTTAAGATTTCTGTATTGGGACTTTTACAAATGTTCTTGAAGTTTCTGGTGACTGGAAGGGGAAAGTCCTGCCCTTGACCCTGTCGCTGTTAGGATTTCAGAGATAATTTTTATTCTCCTACTCTCACTGGAGTCCTAGGAGAAGATGGCAGGAGTCAGGAAAAAAGAAGAGTGGAGAAAAAGAGCTGGACTGATCCATGGTGGGTCCAGCAGACAGGGGGCAGCCAGAAAAGAAAGGAAAAAGCTGAGCAGGGTAGATTTCAATCTACTTACCAAGTATAAATAGCTTCACGGCCTTTAAGCCCTTGGTCATGATTAGCCATGTTTTTTCAGTTTAACCAAAACAGAAGATATCAAGGTCAGGTTCTCTAGCCCACTATGCTTTTGTGTCAGGTTTATTTTTCCCCCTAAGGACTCTGCAACCCAAGCTCCTATTCCTAACCTCCTTCCTACTCCCACAGTCTTTTTTTCTTGTTAAGTCAGATAAGAAGATACAAGGTGAGGTATTGATCAACTGCCCTGGCCTGAAACTGGGGTTCCTCTCCCTCCCTTCCACCTCACTTTAGTTGATAATTTCTTACATCTCCTGGTTTTTACCCTTCACATCCCCCACAACAACAACAACAATAAAAACACCTGACTTGGCTTTTTTGGATTATATTGGCTTTCCTCCTAGGGTTATAGTTCTGTACTACCTGTGGGAAGGACTCAAGAGTAGGTTCAGGTTTTGCATTGTTTCATGGTTTCTTATTTTAATAATAATATCCAAACCCATTTAGGTTTGCAAAGCCCTTCATCCTCAAGGGAAAAGTGAGTCACTCCCAAAGATTTGTCAGAATTTTGGTTTGACCAAGATGAATGCAGGTTTATGTGGACACAATTATATGGATGACTCAATTTAGGAACACTTGGACCTAAAAATGAGGGAGAGAAGGGCAGGTGGTTCTTCCTAAACAGGATTTTAGAGAGGATGAGAAGGTCTTGAGGTATTCAGTTTGAAGGGAGAGGTGCATCCTAACTATCTCAGATGTGGAAATAGTCTAGGTCCTGGTGACTGCCTTGTCTTATACTTATTTCCCATTGAGTTTCGCTGGGAACAGGCTCACGGATTTAGAGTTGGAGGAGACCTTCAAGGTTATCTGGTCCAGCTTCCTCGCTTTACAGACAAGACAGCTGAGGTTTAGAGAGTGATCTACCCAAAGTCACACAGGTTACACTAACTGACAGAGGCAGTATTCAAAGCCACATCATCTAATTCCAAAGCCAAAGCCCTTTCTAGTATACCACCACCATTTAGGGAATAGCAACAAGATTTACTGAGTCAGTGAATCATATCTCATGGGCCTGAATCAGATCCAGACACTTGGGAGAAGCACATGGATCTCAAGACACACAGGTTCCTGTTTACTCAGTGCTGGTAAGGAAGGGGCTGGGCTCAGGGAAAGCACCTCCACATATCTCTGCTGCTTTGAGAATAAAACAGAAAATTACTTCTTTCATCTCTGTCACCTCCCTAATCTCCAGGCCTCTTCCTCTTTGATTGTTGGATTGCCAGACCAGTGCTACAAATGGGTGCTACGACTATTTCAATTCTAGGTATGGTAGGGGGAGAGTACTTCTTATTTATTGAAATGAGGAAGCACCCTTTTAAAGTGGGCCTCTTTATAGTTCATATAGTTCAGCCCTCTTTACTTTCATTCTTCTCCAATGTCTCAGCTTAGATCATCAGAAACACGAGTTGGCCAAGGGTTCCAACATTTTCTTCTCTCAAGTTTTTTTCTTGGGAATGAGGCTGGTTAGAGATTGGATTAAATTGGGAGGCCCAAAGTGTTGATACAGAATCATTATTGACACCTCTTATTTTGGTCAATAAATCTTCTGCAGTTTAACAATAATGACTCACATTTTGCCTTTCCAATTGTTTTGTTGCTGTTTAGTCCTTTCAGTCACGTCCAACTCTTTGTTGACCCTATTTGAGGTTTTCTTGGCAAAGATACTAGAGTTTTGCCCTTTCCTTCTCCAGCTCATTTTACAGATGAGGAAATTGAGGCAAATAGAATTAATGACTTGCCCATCATCACACAACTAGTAAATGTTTGAGGTTTTAAACTTAGGTCTTCCTGACTCCAGGCCAAGTGCTCTATCCACTGAGTCATCTAGCTCTCCTTTCTAATTGCATCTCAGCACAATGTCTAGAGCATAGTAGGTGTTCAATAAATACTTGTTCACTTGATGTTTGTACATCACTTTAAAGTTTGCAAAGCATTTTCTTCACAATAACTTGAACAGTAGGTAATAGAATTATTATCATTCCCATTTGACAGATGAAGAAATTGTGGTTTTGAGAAATCATGACTTGTTGACAGCCATAGAGCTAGGGAGTATCAGAAGTAGGATTTGAGTCTCCTTACTATGGTGCCAGTACTCTATACATTATGACATATTGCCTCCCATGAGCTCCATGAGGGCAAGGACCTTGTCTTATTTTTTTTTAAGTGGAATCACATTTTAAATTTCAATGCAGCATGTATTTATTTTTATAATTTTTTTAAAGTGTGCAAACTTTAGGACCAAATGAATATCAAATTCTATTCAACATTGGCCCAAATTCCCTTGTGATCTTTGTTTAACTTTTTACATAGTTGTGAACACAGGCAACCTGGTATATTGTGAAGACACTTGGATTCAGGAACCTCTATGTTTGAATTCTGGCTCTGTCTTTCCAAAGCTATATGTAACCCACTTAGTCCTTCAGTAATTCAGCCATTTACTTTTTGTTGTAAAGATTCGACGTACTTTGGGGTTTTCTGCTAACCAGAGATATCCTTATCAAGATTCTTAAACCTTTTTTGTGTCATGGACTCCTTTGGCAATCTGGTGAAGCCTTAGGGACCGCCTCTCAGAATAACATTTTCAAATGCATAAAATGAAATACAAGGGACTGCAAAAGAAACTAATTATATTGGAATATGGTTAGCAAAATGTTAAACAAGTTCACAGACTCCAGGTTAAGAACCCCTGTACTGGAAAATATCTGTATGTATAACTTGTATGTCTATTCTCCCTTTCCCCTTTGAATTTCAGCTGTTGACAGGTGGATCTCATTGATGATAAGCTTTGCAACCAAAATCATTTGGTGTTTTGTTTTTGTTTTGGGGAGGCAATGGGCACATAACCAAGTGATTTGCCCAGGGTAACATTGCTAGTAAGTGTCCAAGGCCAGATTTGAACACAGGTCTTCCTGACTCTATGACCAGTGCTCTATCCAAACCAAAACTATTTGGATACATTTCAGTTGTGAGTTTGGGGGGTTAAATTTCATAGAGAATGAAGAGCAGATAAGATCCAAAAACCTTCCTGGGGACAACTGCATTGTTACCCATTTAGACCTAGTGCGGCACCACATATGATTGGACATAAAGTTTAGGAGGATATAAAAAGACTCCACATTTATTACGCACCTACTGTATGCAAGGTGATATTGCTAGGTGCTGAGAGCTAAGTGATGAGGTCCTTAGCCCTAGAAGTGCTTAAAATCAATGGGTTAAGGACAAATGCACAAGTAAATATAATACAAAGTAGAGCATGAAAGTACATTTCAAGTTCAAATATGTTATGAGGATACAGAGGAAAGAATTTTAGTTCTGAGTGTCACTAGTAGGAAAAGAAGAGGCATTAGAGGAGAAAAAGAACATGGGTGTTACAGGATCAGGAAGTCTTCCAGGGAAGTGGAATAAGAACTCTGGAGGTAGTACAGTTCCCTGACAATCTGATCATGCCACCCTAAATAGTGTTTGCCTTAATAAAAAGGATTTTTTTCAAGTGTCTTTCTTCATACAGCTCCGTGGCTTCAATTATATGACTGCATGGATCTTCTTCATCTCTTGGCACATCCATCAAGGAAAACCCTTCATTCTTCATATAATAAAACCCTACTATCATTAGGGCATGTACTGTGAGATATTTTCAAGCAGGGATAATGTGTAGACACCAATATGTTTACAACTTCTCTCTTGGTTCCCTTTTATGACCAAGAGCCTATATTT